CCATGAAGAGCTCTGAAGGTGAGGACCAGGATTTTGATCCGGATTCTGAACTGAACCGGTAGCCAGTGAAGTTCTGCTAGGATCGGGGAGATGTGGGTGAATTTGGAGGTTCGGGTTAGGAGTCTTGCTGCCGAGTTTTGGACAAGCTGAAGGTGATTTGACTGTTTCTGGTTAAGACAGGTGAACAAGCTGTTACAATAATCTACGCGGCTAGAAATGAAGGCATGAATTACCATTTCCAAGTCTGAAGTGAACAGCAGGGGTCGGAGTTTTGAGATATTACGGAGCTGAAAATAGCAAGTGGAAACCAGGTTCTTTATGTGTTTATCTAGTGACAGATCTGAGTCAAGATTTACTCCCAGGTTGTTCACATTCTGCTGAACAGTTGAGCTCAAAGAGCTGAGATGTTCTTTTATCTTAGGGATTTTATTTTCAGGGGCCAGGATCAATGTCTCTGTCTTACTGAGGTTTAAAAGTAACAAGTTTTCAGACAGCCACTGGTTAACTTTAGTGACACAGTTTATGAGAGAGGTGAGCTTGTGGGCTGATAGTTGTACCTGTTGTTGCTGCTTGCTGACTGGCTGCGGAGGCTTTTGGTGTCGTTGCAATGGGGGTGTGGCCTGCTGGACCAGCGGTGGGACTGAGTCCATTTTCCAGTGGAGCTGGTTTGTTGTCGTTTTTACGCTCTGCTCCGTTATCTGTCTCATCCTGGATGGCAGAAAGCAATTTTACAAACCTTTTTATGTCAAACCTTTTTTAAAACAAATAAAGAAACAACATGTTTCACCTCCGTCTGCATCTCGTCCTCGCCGTCCTCCAGAGTCAGAGCTGCCAGCTGTTTGGACCTCTGCTCCAGGAGGTTGACGTATCGGATCGGGTTGGACAGAGCCTCAATCACATCTGCAGGGCAGAGGAGAACACACGCACAGACTGTACAACTGTACTTTTTATAAAGAAGAATTTAATCAGATTTATAGAGCCTCTGACATGTGGAGTTATTTTTGTTTACAGCTTGTTGTTGAGCATTTTGTTCTTAAAGTGATAAAACATAAACCATGACTTTGCTCCTCCTAGCTGATGAGCTTTTTGTAAAAGTACTGGTTTACTATCTTGGGCCGACAGATTTTTCTTCTTGGATCTGTCTCATCTCTGTGCTTTACTGCCTGATG